CTCAGCCCCGTCCCCCGCCATCCTCACCCCGCTAGCCAGTTGACATCCCACCACCAACATTCTTGCCCTATTGAGGCAACGTGAGAAAAAGAAAAACCAAAAAACAAACAGCGCCGGCCGTGAGAGTCCCTTCCCTGCCTCACGCGTCCCCCTGTGGGCGCTTCATCGCCAAGCTCTTGTTTTCTTTCTTAAAGTTAAAACAAATGCAGGAACTGCCCTTGTCTGTGCCTCCTGAAACATCTCAAACCAGTTCATTTGTTCATATTTACAGGAGAAAGAACCACCCAGGGGTGATCTGAGTGTCTTGAATTTTCCAAAAAGGAAAGTAGGAGCCGGAGGATGGTGGGGGGCACATCCCCGAAAAAGTGCACGGAGATCCCGAGGGTCCCTCTTACGCTCATGCTCAGATGAGGCAGCAAGTTAAAGTCTCCCACGGCGACCTCTGACACCTCAAGGCCCTGCCTCCCTTGCAATCCGATTGCCCTGAAAGTCCCAGGGCAAAGGCTCGGTCCCCCAAGCTGTGTGCGTGGCTGTTTTGCTCCCCGCAGCTCCCCAGAAAGCCTGTGCTGCTTCAGGAGCAGCGGCACCCTTGGCCTCGGAAGGGGCCAGCGTGCCCTTGGCTGTGATCTGGGGCCTCTTTGTGCAAATAGAAAACCACAAGTCCCCTTTTGGGCCACACGGCCGGGCCCAGGAGCAAATTCCTGACCCAATGTGGCCTCTGCCTCTGCTCAGCTCTCCCATGAGCCATGAGGAGGGCTGGGATGGGCCTTAGAGAAGCAAGGGCCGGGGATGGGCCCCGTCACCTCTCAAGACATCCCCTGGGGCCAGGAGGGGTGATCTTATTGCTAGATGAGAACGTGGAGGTGGGGCCCACAAGCAGCCCCCTCAGCCCCACACCATGGGGATAGCTCTTGTTCATGGAGAGGACGGTCCAGTGCCCATAGGGCCTGAGATGGCGAGGGACAGGATGCTGGGCCAGCCCCGCCTGGGAAGGAGGGTATCCGGGCCTCCATGCCGCCCTCAGCTCAGCCGATCTTGCCTCCGTTCATGAGGCACCGCGGGGCAGCAGGGCAGCGGGGAGCCTCTGGGGAGGTGCTGGCCGGTTGCTGAGGCTTTCCAAGCTCTGGGGCTCACATGTTCTCAAGCCCCTGTCCCTTGCCTCTCCCCAGTGGCTGTGGAGGAGCACATAGCCAGTCCTCTTTTGTACAGGGCAGGTGTCTTGGGGCATGTTAGGTGATGCTAGGGAGAAGGACACGTGGTCAGTGATCTGAGCAGGCTTCTGAGCAGCCAGAATGGGTCCTGGCCAGACAGACAGAATCGGGCCTGTGGGTGCTGCACCACCCAGCTCAGCAGGTGACCTGGAGCGCCTGAAAGCATCAACTAGAGCGCCAGTACACTGCACAGAACCATGAGGGATGTGGGGGTGGCGCCGCCCCCAGACCTCATATCAATGCACAGCAGCCCGCATCCAGTGAAGGCCAGGAGGAGCCCAGGATGGGCCAGAGGAGGTATGTGACTCCCCTGCCTCCAAAGTGCCCCTGAAGTGTGGGTCTCACCCCAAGGACATAGGAGCACCCTGGAGCCCAGGCCCCAGTGTTTGCTTAAGTCCTGGCTGCCACTAGCAGGAGACTCAGGAGGAAAGCCCCAGCCTGGGTCCCCATCTGAATATCGACCTGAGTTTTCAGTTCAGAGCGACCTCTCTCCTCTGCCCAGCAGGAGAGCTCATCTTTTCTGGGAGGCTGTGGTTTCCAGAACTTTCTTTTTAGGATGTTTGGACCATCTTCTGCTCCAGTCTCCTTTTTCCTCTGAGAATGGGGGCTGAGGTCACATGTCTCGAACCTCAAAATGACGGTGATGCTTTTCTGACCGAAGTATTTTCCCTGCTGAATGCCATTTGGCAAATTCGACGTTGTTTTACGGACCTCAGATGTTCAGATACGGTTCCTTCCCTTCTGTGTCTGTGCCGTATTAGAGGTAGGGTGTGTGTGCAATCTTGCAAAAGAGAGACAGAGAAAGAGAGAGGGAGAGAGAGAGGAAGGGAGGAGGATTGTTCGCTTGTGTGTGTTTGTGGGGGGGGAGTGTGGTGTCCATAACAGCCAGAAAATCCCGGTGGAACTTCTGGCCTGGTGGAAATCTGAGAAATGGCGTTAGTGTCATGTAATGTTTCTTTCTCAAAGAGAAGCTGTTAAAAACTTTTTAAAAATCTTGGTTTTATTAATATTTCAGGGCCGTTTTTATTTGAGATCCGCATAGAGTCAAATAGGTTGCTTTGCAGGAACCCACGTTTCCGTGGTCAAGGCCAGGGAATGGAAATGCTTTCCACTGCGGCCATGTGGCCATCACAGCGCACACGAGAGCGCATTAAAACACTAGATTGAAATCTATGATATCCCTTTCAAAAAGGCATTGCTAAAAGTCATTTCATACGAGAGTCTATGGGTTTCTGAGAGCAGTTTTTCATATTTTTAGTGTTTAAATGTTATTATTATTCGAAGGAAAATACGTCCCACACAATGCTCATTTTCCTTTGATAACTGAAATTCACGGTTGAGATTTCAGGAGGAGAAGCTGCCCGTGCCTGCGCAGCGAGTCTCCTCCAGCCTCCGGCCGGCTCCTGCTTTCCCGGGCATTTCCCGGGCATTCCAGCCACGTGGCTTATCCAGCTCAGAGGCGCACCTTTGCGGGGACATGGGCAGGAGCGCTGGTGGCCCTGTAACACCCGATGTCACCCGCTGTGCTACCTATGAGGGTGTTCTCAGAGCAGAGGGCTCCTCTCCCTCTTGGAGGGGAAGGGTCACACAGTGCGGTTGAGGGGGTCAGAAGTGCCCTGAGCGGAGGAATTTCTCTCTGCTTTGGGCCAGTTTGGCGTTGCATTTGCTTAAATGTGCATTTCAAGTTCCCTCTGGGTTTGTGGCTTTAATTCAGCCTACGGACCAGACCGAAAGCAGAGAGAATGAATCCCTTGAGGCGGTGTTGGAGAGAGCCGTCTAGCGGGTCAGGAGGTATCCCAGTAGTTTTGACATTATCTGTGGTTTGGGTAATAGAGCCAAGTACGTTTCTGACTCTAGGACGGAGCTTTGGAGGGAGTCCGCACTGTGGGATAACGGCGGGGTAAAGGGAAGGAACGGATCAGGATTCAGGATCATTCTTCCATCCTGGCAAAAAGGATTTCTGCCCCCGGTCCTGACCACGGAAACACAGTTGGCTACAAAGCAGTCCCTTCCTTTTGGACCTCGTGTGTAGCTAAAAGGAAAGCTTCCCTGAAATATTAATAATACAATGAAGATTTTTTTCAAAGACAGGCTTCTCTTTGAGAAGATTACACATCTGTTTGTTTTTTAAAAAGCTAGACACATAATGATACCCACTTTACTGCTTAAGTTTAGTTCCAATGTTCTAATAAACATTTATTTCTTAAATAAAAAACTCTGGGTCCTTCATTACTGTAGTTTGCATCTCACAAAAGCACAGCCCTGCCCCAGCACTGTGGTGCCCCTGCCCCTCGGCTTCCCAACAGACGACCAAGGACACACACTCTCTGCAAATCTGAGCCCCAGAAAAGGATGGAAAGACGCGTCCTTCTACGCACCTCAAGCCCAATTTTCCTTCACTCCAATTTCACTTTCATGTGGAATAAGGAAAATATTTTTTTAAGTTCTGTTCTTATGTTTATGATTATTCTTTTGCTTCCTCTCTGTATTTTTTTTCAATCATAAAAAGTTATTTTAAACAGTTTTGGCTCTAACTGAAGGCCATGGAAGTCCTGGTAGTACAGCAGATTCATGTCCCCATCCAGAACGAGCTTGTCCAGCAGAGCAACTGCTCGGTGGAGACTCTGCTCCACAGCCAAGGGGACAGCAAATGAGGGAGAGCCCCTGGCAGCCAGCCGGGGCCTGCGGGACCTCCCTGGAGTTTGCTCTCTGCATTTCTTAATGCAAAATTGTTTCTCTCAAGTCGAGAGCCTTGAATCACTTTCAATGGCTTGCACAGGCTACCCGGGAATGTTCCGTGACGTGGTCTTCACACACATTTTTCACAGCCATAGGATCCCTTTTTTTTTTGCAAATGAAATCTCATGTATGACCCCAAGATATTACAGGAAAAACCAGACTGCCGTGATGGAAGGGGCCGGGGACCCCGGGCACCCTGAGGAACGCACGGTGTTGAGCACGCAGGGTGGAAAATGCCGTCCGGGAGACCTGGCTTGAGAGTGAGAAGAGCCTCCAGGGGCCACTGGCAAGCTTGGAATAGAGAAATTCATGAAGCAGCGACCAACTCTGGGGACACGGTGCCTTGTGGAGTGGAAAGAGACTCCGCATCTTCTCCCCGATCAGCCTGTGGGTCTGGACGCCTGTGCCGGTGGTGGTGTGGACCAGCCGTGGAGGTCGAGGGTCCAGGGAGCTTAGTGGGGGCCTCAGTCTTGAGGTGGCAGGGACGGAAGCGAAGGTGTCTCTTGCCTGGTTCACTGCCCGCAGGACAGGGACTTTGTGCCAAAAAGGCCAAGGCCTTCAGCAGGCTGGTCAGAGGCCCTGGAGGCTCCAGGAGGCCCCTGAGTGGCTGCCTCATTGGCCGGTGCTGACTCTTCGGAAAATTTGGTTAAACAGCGCCATTTAGATGGGTTCTTGCAGTGACGATTCCTGCTCTATGCTTCTCCCGTGTCCTTCAGGGAAGCGGCATTTGCAGGAAGTGTGGACCGTGTGATCTGGGGTCCTGCCTGCTTCATTGCTCTTTTCCACCCGAACCACCATCCTGGGGTTCAGGAGCTGCCAGCCTCGGGCAGGGGCCCTGAGCAAGGCTCCGATGGAGCCCTCTCGGGGTGAGTCAGCTCCCCAGAAGCCAGCGCTGGCCGAGCACCAAACAGTGCCCCCACCGCAGGCCAGGGCTTGGCAGATGTCCCCAGAGAGGCTCAGACAACCCTTGCCTCGGCACCTCCGCCAATCTTGGTGCCGCGTCCTCAGGGACAATTCCAAGGGGCAGAAGTCCCCGTTATGAGCCCGGACCTACCTGCTCACTGATCTGACACATGGTGAGGTTCTGATCATCGCAGGAGCACGCCACACGGATGTACTTGAGCCAGCTGCCGGCCCCGGCCTGATTCGCATCCACACAGAACTTCTCGCTGCCCAAGTCTTCGGAGATCTGCTGGGAGGAAAGTGAAGCAGGAGTCAGAGGTGCCCTGTGTGCTGGAGTCTGCACACTGCCTCTGGCCACCCGGAAACCTGGCTGTTTGGGCTCAAGGAGGAAGGCAAGTCGGCGTCCAGACCTCAGCCCACCCTCCGGGCATCAGCGGGGCTCCCAGCCCACCCAGACTGCCCAAGCCTGGGAGTCTCCAGGAGTCTCCAGGAGCCCAGCGGAAAGGCAGGGAATGGCCTTTTCTTTTCTCACCGAACAGATCACTGCCCTGGCCCGGTGATAAAATGAGCCTCCAGAGTCGCAACCCCCACCCCCGCAGCAAAGCTGTCCCACGTGTGAGAAGGCAGAGACCACTGCATCTGGGAGCAGAGCCCTCTGCTGAGGAGCTGGGGCGCTGGGCTAGAGAAAAGCGCGTCTGAAGGCGAAGGTGTTGCTGGGCGTGCATGTGCGTGTGTGTGTGCACGCTCAGGGCAGCCTGCACACCACTCTGACAATAAGACAAGCATCTGGTTTCCTTAAAGCTGGAGAGTTTCAGTTTGACACCCAGCAGCGTGAAGACGCCTAGCTGTTCTCACCACGCCCGCAAAGTCCCACGCACACCAACTTGGCTTTATTTTGTTGTTGCTGTTGCCTCTGAACAGGCAGAGTGGCCACCCCTAGGGCTTTGCTTATTTGCTGTTACCCCTACTCCTCTGAGGACCACTGATGAGGAGACCTGACTTGCTGTCCACTGTGGAGAGATGGTGTCACCTCGACCAGCCTGACCACGGGTGGCGGCTGCAGCCCTCCCAGTCTCCCCCACTCTGGCCAGTGGCTTCTCTGGGTTCTGAATTCAAACCAACGGCATGTTGGGCAAGCTTCTTGGGCAGCCCAGCCCAGACAGGGCAGGAGGGAAGACAGGGGGCAGGGGCTGGGGACACACCACACTCAGGTCCCAAAAGTAGAAAGGCTATGTCTCTGTGGGCAGGAGTGCCCTTGGGCAGGTGTATCCTGCTGGATAGGTGTATGTGGGTGGGCAGCTGTGTCCTTGGGCAGGTGCGTCCTGCTGGACAGGTATGTCCAGGTGGGCAGCTGTGTCCTTAGGTAGGTGTGTCCTGGTGGGCAGCTGTGTCCTTGGGTAGGTGTGTCCTGGTGGGCAGGTGCATCCCTGAGCAGATGTGTCTGGGTGGGCAGAGGTGATGGATAAGGAAGTCAGAAGGACCCAGGGAAGTCAGGATGAGACAGTGACCTGTCCAAGTGAAAACAGTAGAAGCTGACTCTGGGCACCATGGGCCTCTTATTCTCTGGAGTTCTCCTGACTGCTCCATGGTGAACTCTAGGACCTGGCAGAGGGGAGGAGCCGCCCACCTGAGGTCGGGAGCTGCCCTCTTCTGACCAGAGAGTCAGGGGCTTTGTGAACAGTGCAGGCGTTCCCCGGGCATCCTCAATGACCAAGGGCCCACCTGGCCTGAGAGTCCACAAGGAAACGGAGGTTTCAGGAGGCAGCTGCTTAGCTCAGGGGTGCACAAGGGTGCTGTGGAGTCTGCCTGTGCATCTGCATCCCATCGGCCCTGAAACCACACCCCCCATAGGGCCCATGGGAGCTGCTGTGGCAGCCTCGTCCTCTGAGTGACAAGTCTCTGAGCAGGTACACTCGGGCCAAGCTCTGTGGGACACCTTAGGGGCTAGTTTGGAAAGAGGCTGTGAGCTGAGGGGCCTCAGTTCTGAGACTTTTTGCTTTTTGGGGACTTTATCATTCGTGCCAGAGCAAAATGAAATGGACCTAATTCTCAAAGGGAGGACGTGAACCAGAGACAGGCAGGTGGAGCCTGGGCAAGGCGGAAAGAGGCAGGGATGTGAAGGATGGGGAGAGACATCTGAGGAGCCTGCCAGGGCACAGGAGCGCCCCGGCCCAGCCTCTGTCCTCAGCTGCCAGCGTCCAGACCCTCAGGAGGTTGGGGCCAAGAGCATCCACTCCTGTGTGCACAGGTCCCGGTGACCCCAGTGCCTGACCCTCAGATGCTCGGCATGCACTCTCCCGGGTTCCTGGCCATCTCAGGCCTGGTGCTGGGATTCTTTTGAAAAGTTCAACGTCAGCACCAATCAACGGGGAAGCGTGTTGTCCATGTGCCCCGGCCTCTGTGTGTGGCTTCCAGGGAAAGTTGGTCCCCAGAGCACAGCATAGACAGGGAGAGGACCTCAAATCTCCTTTCGCTTCCACTTACTCTCAGTCTCCTCGCTGACATCCTCTACCAAGCTGGGGTTCCCGACTAAGGGTTTCCAGAGGTGCTGGGTAAGACAGATTGGGGTGCAGGGTGGGCAGTCAGCCAGGGCAGAGGGGGGTGCTCCTGGGGTCCCCCTATCACACACAGCCGTGCCTGCCCCTGGAGCCCTTCTGGCTCCATCCAGGGCAGTGGGAGATTCACTCGAAGGCTGTCTTATTTCAGAGACGGCAGCGGCAGAAACGCTCCCAAGCTCGTGGGCTGTGGTTGCTCCAGTCACCAAGTGAGTGTGAGTGAATGGCCAGGTCCCTTCTCTGCCCGGGGTTGGCCGTGAGTCCTGTCCACTCGGAACTGTAGATGGGCCTGTGGTCCAGAGAGGACGTGGATCCGAGAAGCATAACTAGGCTAGAGGCTGGCGCCCGAGGAAAACATTGGTGGCGAGGGAACGCTCAAAATACAAATGATGAATTAGCGGGAGCACAGCCGGCCACATGGGGCTGGCAGCATCCCAGTCCCGTCCCCAGCCCATGGGTCCACTTCTCCATTGAGGCCTGCTGATGTCACAGCACATTGCACACAGTGCCTGTGGGCTGAGGGCTGGCACTCACCCAGGGCGGGCCGTGCCCTCCCACCTGGGACCCGGACTTTTGTCCTCAAAGCTGGAGTACCTGGGCCACAGCACTCCACTGGTGCAGCCAGGAGTACGTGCTCCTGAGTGCATCCCCCGCTGAGCCCAGGGACCAGCTGATGGGGCTCAGGCCACTTCCCGAGAGGCAGGACTCACTCCTAATGCACCCAACATATGGACTCAGCCAACACCTTCCCCCTGTTCTGGGTCCCGGTTGGCTCAAGCCTCGCTTTGGTGGGGAGTCTGTGGCCACCCTGCTGCTCAGGACTCAGGGCAGGTTCCCAGGGAGATTCTCTCTGTGTTACCAGCTTCTGCAGAGACAGCTCTGCCCTAGGCAGGACTGCAAATCCCTTGACATTTGAGGTCCTGTTCCCTAAAGGGGCTGCAGGAAGGGTCCTCACGCTGTCCAGGGTGGTCACTGCCTGCCCTGCCCAAGTCCAGGGCCAGCCCAATCCAAGAACCACAGACTCAGCAACCCGCCCCACTGCACCCCATCTCTTGCCAGGACAGAAGTGGCAGGGGCGTGGCATGGAAGGGAGGAGGCCACAAGCGGCTGGTCGCTACTGGGAAGTCAGGCTTCCCATCCTGTACGTGCAGACCCAGGGCCACCAGCCCACGTGGTGAGGCCCCTCCCCAGGCACAGAGACCTCTCAGGGCCCTCTCACTTCCCACCCTGACTGCTGGTGCGCATCAGGAAACCACTGGAAAGGCTCGCCAAGCCAGAGCTGTGGTTGGCAGCCCTGCCATCTTCCTCTGCCACAGGGAGGGAGTGAGGCTGGGCTGGCCAAGACCCACGGGGCCCCGTCCCACCTCATCACTGGCCAGGTCTAGGCTGGAGGTCACTATGGGGCAGGGGACTCACAGCCCCTGTATAGGTAGGGGCCTGGGTGCTGGTCTCTCCCTCTCTCTCTCCCCTGCTCTGCTTCTCTGTCTCTGTATCTCTCCCTCTCAGTATGGGTCTCTTTTGGGCTTTCTCTCCTCATATACGGTACAGGGGCTGGGGAGAAGATAAATGACGCTGTGAGTGACCACAGCCATGGCATGGGCTTCTCCTGGGGCCTGGTTGTTGACTCGAGAGTGTTGGCCTCCGTCGGGCGTGGTGGCTCATGCCTGTAATCCCAGCACTTTGAGCGGCCGAGGCGGGCGGATCACCTGAGGTCAGGAGTTCAAGACCAGCCTGGCCAACATGGGGAAACCCTGTCTCTACTAAAAATACAAAAGTTAGCTGGGCATGGTGGTGTGCAGCTACTTGGGAGGCTGAGACGCAAGAATCACTTGTACCCAGGAGGCAGTGGCTATAGTGAGCCGAGGTTGTGCCACTGCATACCAGCCTGGGTAACAGAATGAGAGACTCTGTTTCAAAAAAAAAAAAAAAAAAGGAGTATTGGCTTCACTTTGACTTCCAGGCCTTGGGGTCCATCTCCCCAGGAAATCCCTGGAAAAACAATCTGTGTCCCTGGCTGACCAACCACTATTTTAAGTGCTCCCAAGCCCCTCGCCTTACAGGCGCGCATGTATCTGGGTGTGTGCTTGTGTGTGGGCGTGTGCCTGCATGTGTGCACAGGTATGTGGGTGTGTGTGCATGTGTGTGGGTGCACCTGTGTGTGTATGTGTGTGTGTGTGTCCATGTATGTCTGCTTGTCCTGGGGGAATGGGGCGAGAAGCTTTCGGTGAGCAGAAGGCTGACGCCGCAGGAGGACATTGAAGCGATGGCCAATTCCCTCTCAAAAACGTGGGTTCTGTGTCTGGAGGAGAACCCTGGCCCCTTCCATCCAACCCCACATCTGAGGCCTCCTCAATGCCTGTGATCCAGCCACTGATGGCTGCAGGTCCAGGGACCCACCTGTGCCCTGGGACAGCCAGTCTCCAGACACACACCACCGTGCTCTGTGGAGCAGCCGCCCACTGCGCTCCCAGGCCGCCGGTGTATTGTTGAATCCATCGAGTCACCGGGAATTGTTTTTTTGGGGCATAGGCTCTCCCTTCTTGCAATGCCCCCCTCACCTTGCAGAATAAGCCTCTCTTTTCCACATGACGGCCCTGCAGGTATTTGCATGCGGCCTAAGTCCTGACCCTCCCGTGCCAGGGTAAACATCTCTGGCTCTCTCAAACGTGTCTGAACAGGGACACGGCTGGTTTCCCACCCACATGGGACAGTGTTCTGGAGCGTCCGGTCT